AACATATGTGTACAATACAACCCAGCAATTCCACTGCTGGATAATTTTGACTAGGAGAAATGCAAATATATGCCCATACAAAGATTTGTGTATGCATGTTCATTACAGCTTTTCATGATAATCCCAAACTAGAGAGAGACAACCTAAAGGTTTTTCAAAAAGTGAACTGTGATATATTCATACAATAGAATTTTATTCAGCAGTAATAAGCAAGTCACTGATACAACAACATAAATGAGTCTCAAAGCCTTATGCTGAGCATAAGAAGGAAGGCTCAGAGATCATACACTTATGCATCCATCGATAGGAAGTTCTGAATAGGCTGAAGAGGAGGGAGGAGGTGGGTGGGAGTAACAGGGATCATTGAGGTAAAGGGAACATTTTACCCATCGATTTAAGCGATGGTTTATGGTGTACACATTTGTCAAAACATATCGAACTATACACAATGCGTGCATTGATCGTATTTAAATTTTGCCTTAATAAAGTTGATTTAAGCCATACATTGATGCCCACTTCATACTGTAGACCAATTAAGTGGAAATCTCTGGGGTAGTTCCAACATGTAGCCAGGTTGAAACCAGTGTTCTGATATGAGGTTGCGTGTTGTTTGTCTACGTGTGCATTCATCTATCTGTGTTGGTTTCTACTATGAAAGAGAGACTGGGCCACCCAAATTGGTAGCCAGCCTCCAATTAAGGCTCTCCCATACTTTTATATTCCAAGGAGTAGAGGACCTTGGCCACAGAGAGGGCGCTACTAAACAGAACGCTCTGGGGAGGGTTCATCCAGGTGTGCCCTTGCTGCTGGTCAAGGGCCAGCATCTCAGCCAGCCCTTTGGCGGGAGATCCTACCTGGAGCTCAGCATCACACCTGCCAGCCTTGCCTGCCAGCTTCAGTGAGCACTCAGCGCATCTGTGCTGTCACCTCTGAGAGAGTGGTTTTCACCTTTGGTGGCACACTGGCATATTTGGGGAGCTTTGCAAATCACCACTGCCTCATCCCCACCCCCAGAGATTCTGATCTAATTGATCCAGGGGTGGGGCTTGGGTATCAGGAGTGTTAAAATTCCCCCCAGGTGATTCTAATTGTGTCAGTCAAGGTTTCTCAGCCACGTCTGTCTGGGGACAGACACCTGGGGAAACTTTCACAAGTGTCAGTGCCTGGGTCCCACTCATGGAAATTCTGATATAAATGTTCTGGCGCAGGGTTCAGGGTTTTTTGTGTTTTTGCTGTTTTGTAGCTCCTCAGCTGATTCTAATATACTGCCAGGACCCAAAATTACTGGATGAAGTACCAACATTTTTTAAAGCAATTTTGCTGAGAATCTGGGGGGAAAGGCACTTTCATAGGCTGTTTGTGAGAATAAGAATTGGTACAACCTTTCGAAAGGTAGTCCCTGTATTAAGAAGTATATCTTGCAGAATTAATCATACAAGTTCACACAAGTATTTTTTTTAACAGTTGTCGCTGCAACATTGTTTGTAATAGCAAAAAAACTTAAAACAATCCAAATATTTCCCAGTAGAAGTCTGGGAAGCCACTAATACCCTACCATAAATACAGCCTAATCCCATTCCATGGAATACTATGCAACCATTTAAATGATCAAGGTAAATAAAAAATTAAAAAATAAATAAAAACAGTAATAAAACTAAAAAAAAAAAGAATAAACAAAAAGACTTGAGGTAAATCTTCACCCAATAAGGAAGGATGAACAATATCTATCATTTGCAGATGAAAGCAAATTACAGACCAGTATATATAACATGGGGCCATGTTGCATTAAAAATAAGTTTCTGTATACAGACACATATGTATCAACAAACAGGTTTATGTGTAATTAGAGGGCAGTATCTTTTAGTGTGTGAGACTCCTAGCAGCAGTTACCTGTAGGGAGTAGGATTAGAGACATGGAAACTCTCACTTGTTTTATAAATTTGCGGTAGTAGAATTATGAGATTTTCCTTTTTTGTATTTTTCCCCAAAAGTGTAAACTTTAAAAATTTACATATTTTAGAAAACATCTCCAGCCTGGCCATGATCAGCTGTATCTTCTGTGGGCTCTGTCAGCTGGATGTCTGAGGCTAACGCTTGGGCACTCAGGAGTCCCTGACTCTGAGGGCATCCATATCTACTGATGGGACATAGGACCCAGCTTTATAAAATGCTCCCCCCTTTTTATTTTTTTATTTATTATTATTATTATTTGTGTTTATTTTTGAGAAAGACAGAGCGTGAGCGGAGGAGGGGCAGAGAGGGAGGGAGACACAGAATCTGAAGCAGGCTCCAGGCTCTGAGCTGTCAGCACAAAGCTCGACACAGGGCTCGAACTCACAAACCACGAGATCGTGACCTGAGTCGAAGTCAGATGCTTAACCAACTGAACCACCCAGGCGCCCCAAATGCTCCCCTTTTTAATCTTTTCTTGTAAATATTCCTCCTCCTTTCCTGGTGGAAGGGTTGCAGAGCTTTCCTTATGAGAAACAATCTTGTGGCTCCTGCCAGCAATCTGTAGACTTTGTTTTCTTTCCCAGAAAAAGGGAGGAGGAAGAGTTTAAAGAATTGCTATTCACAATTAAAAAACTGGCCCCAGTAAATAGTTTGGGCTTTACTCTCACCAACGTTTGTTTACTTTACCTGGGCAGAAGTGCTTTATAGCTTCCTAGAAGCAGGGTAAGCAGGACCTGTTACCCTCTTTAACAATTACAGAGGTAGATGCAGAAAGGTTAAGCAACCTGCCCATTGTAACACAGCAGTTACTGGTAGGGACAGTAACTTGGCCCTGCTGCTTCTGTGATCATCCTCCCTATACCTTCTTTCTTTCATTGGAAATGCTCATTTGGTGAATGAGGAATGGGAGCTATCGGCCCTACAAAAGGAGGCACAAACTCAAATTCCCCAGGAGTCAGACCCATGACATAAATGAATGAAGCAGACCAGCAGACTGATGGAGTACTTGGGTCTGTGGCAAACTGTGGACTCAGCATGGCCAGATCTTCTGAAAAAAACAGAGATCAGGATTGTAATGTTTACATCTCCCTGTTTTTATATACCAGTAACCAACTTAAAATTAATAAAACACTTTCAGTTAAGCAGAACCTGTCCACTGGCTGGATTCACCACATGACCATGATTATACAGTTTCTGGTGTGTTTTGCCCCCCAACCCCACCCACCAGTGGGGAGATGGCTGAAGGGTTGGCAGCTGAGGGGCATCGATTCCTTGACATTGCTTTGATATCTTCCATGTCTGTTCAGCTGTTAGCTATCCCTTTTTTTTTCTTAATGTCTATCTTGGGGCACCTGAGTGGCTTGCTTGGTTAAGCGTCCAACTCTTGGTTTTGGCTTAGCTGATGATCTCACAGTTGGTGAGTTCAAGCCCTGCATCGGGCTCTGTGCTGATAACCTCTAGCCTGCTTAGATTCTCTTTGTCTTCTCTCTCTCTGCCCCTCCTGCTCTCTCTCTCTCTTTCTGTCTCAAAATAAATAAATTAGCTTTAAAAATTTTTTTGTTTTTGTTTTTCTAATAGGTAGTAAATTTTTTTCTTTTTTTCTTAATATGAAATTTATTGTCAAATTGGTTTCCATACAACTCCCAGTGCTCATCCCAACAAGTGTCCTCCTCAATGCCCATCACCCACTTTCCCCTCCCTCCCACCCCCTATCAACCCTCAGTTTATTCTCAGTTTTTAAGTCTCTTATGGTTTGGCTTCTCCCCTCTCTGTAACTTTTTTTTTCCCCTTCCCCTCCCCCATGGTCTTTTGTTAAGTTTCTTAGGATCCACATAAGAGTGAAAACATGGTATCTTTCTCTGTATGACTTATTTCACTTAGCATAACACTCTCCAGTTCCATCCACGTTGCTACAAAAGGCCATATTTCATTCTTTCTCATTGCCAAATAGTATTCCATTGTACATATAAAAAAATTATTGTTTTTTTGGATTTTGACCTTTTTTCGAATGATCACTATACATATTTATTGCATTTTTTTAAAAGAATGAAGAAATATCGTACCACCAAGACATATCTACTGCTGATAATTTGCTAAGCGTTCTCCTAATGCTTTTGAGAATGTACATATTGTTTCAATAAATACAGCATTATTCAGTTTTGCCCCCTGCACCTCCACTCACTTATACATAATAGGCCTCTTTCTGTTTCATTCGCATTTCTTTGAAGACACTATCTTTGGTGGCTGTGGCAGCCTGTTGTGTAAATATAGCAGACTTGACCAGTTATTTTCCATGTGACATTGAGCAAGGTATTTAATCTGTGCCTAGATTTTCTCTTTCATGTAGTGGGGGTTATAACAAAATCTACTTTTAGGGTTAGTGTGAGGATTGAAGGGGCAAAGAGATGTACAGTAGTTAGAACAGTGCTTGGCATAGAGTAGATGTTATATTAGCGCTTGTTATCCTTTTCATCACTATTATCACAGTTTGGTACAAAGGCATCTTTGCCTGAATTTTTTATTACACTTGGTAATAAATTATTGTGGGGGAATTACTGGTTAATACTATGGGGGAATTATTGGTCACAAGGTGTTCACATTTCAAGGCTCTTAATGTGCATCGTCGGATAGTCCTCTTCTAAATCTGTTACTAATTTACATTTCCAGCAGGCAACGGGTCCCTATTTTTCATAGCCTCTAAAATATTTTTGTTTTCTTTTTCTTCACTCTTTACCAAAACTGATGACCGTAAGGATCTGTAATATCCTTGAGCCTCTGTCTAGATTAGAACTCAAACCTGGTCCTTCTCCTTGCTGTTCTGAGACAGACTGGCTTTGGGTATGGAAATTAATTCTGGTTTATATTGTTTTTGTTGCCTTAACCCAAATGGAGAGTCTCTGTTGCTTAACAGGTAAGTTTAATGCATCCGCTTTTATCATGATACTCTGTTTACTGTATTCGCTGTTTTCTGGTAGTGCATCCCACAGGCCACCGACCCAACATGTCTTGGTGAGGTGCTGACCTAGGGTCTCTGGGGTCTGTTCCAGAAACCACTCAGATCGAGGACCCCCGGGTGCAATGGCGGCAGGAGCAGGAGCACATGCTGAAGGATTACCTGGTGGTGGCCCAGGAGGCCTTGAGCGCGCAGAAGGAGATCTACCAGGTGAAGCAACAGCGCCTAGAGCTCGCACAGCAGGAGTATCAGCAGCTGCACGCCGTCTGGGAGCACAAGCTGGGCTCCCAGGTCAGCTGTGAGTACCTCCCGCCACCAGCGCCCGCACCCCTGCACGATGGCGGGAAGGACTGCACCCAGTCCTGTCTGGCTTGCCTCTCAGTGCTTCTCAGATCTGCCAGTTTTCTTCCATCTCTGCTTCTCGTGCAAACCACCATCCTCTCCGAAGCCCTTCTGCTTCTGCCTTGCAGTGATTCATATGCCTCTTTCATTCCATGCCTTTCATTCGTCTGCAGTCATCTCAGACTATCAGCCAGCTTACAGACCTCCTCATTTAAAGCCCTTCTAAGGCTAGAGGATGTGGGGTGTAGGGAGTTCTTCTTCAATGGAGAGAGCTTGAAGTTGGGAGGATGAAAATGGTCTGGAGATGGACAGTGGTGGTGGTTGCACAACACTGTAAATGTACTTAATGCCCCTGAACTGGACACTTAAAAATGAATTTTACGCTATGTATATTTCACCACAATTTAAACAAAAAACCTTCAGTGGCTTCCCATCGTTCCTTCCACAGCCTCCACTGCCCTTTGTGGTCAGGCTCCTGCAGCCACCCCAGCCTCGTCTCATGCGGCCACTTGCTGCACTCCATTCCTCGTTCACTGGGCTCCAGAGCCCCCCACTCTGCTCCCCTAGCCTGCCCTGCACCTTTCCACCTTGGCACTTTTGCACTTGCTGCACCCCTGCCTAGGATGCTCTTCTGTCTGTTTGCATAGCTGGTTCCCTCTTACCCTTCTGGTCTCACCCTTCCAGTCCCATTCTTCCTGTCATCTCCTCTGAGAGGCCCGCTTCTGACAGCTCCATCAACAGACTCCCTTCCCCAGTGTTAGCCTTTGTAATGGATCTCTGTTTATTTTCTTCATTGCATGTGTCACAAGACATCTGCTTACATGTCTGTATTACGTCCAGTGGCATGTTAACTCTGTAAGGGCGGGGCTCCTGTCTCCCTGGTTCTCACTGGTATCTTCAGGAGAATAGGCATGCCAAGGCCCCAGTCCTTCATTCCCAGTGCAGTACCAGACCAGTACCTGTTCAGGAGCCTACTTACATTTGCCAATGTGTTGGGGTTTATTGTCTTTTACCACTATTTCTAATAACCAGCCCTGCCCCATGTTTTTTGAGTGCTTAGTACATGTCAGGCTGAAAATGCTATTTCACTGAATCCTCATAATAATCCTGTGGATGAGGACAGTTAATATCCCCTGTAATAGGGAAGGAAACAGGTTAGCGGAGTTGATGATATGCCCAGGGTCTTAGAGCTGGTGAGAGCAGCAGTAAGTTGTAAATCCATCCCATCTGCCCCTCCAGCATCCTCAGTGTGGGCGAAGGGGCCAGCACTAGGCCGTGCTGTTAGGTTGACATAGCTTGGCTGCGTCACTGGATACTTCTCCTGTGTGAAGCCCTCATTTTGAAAAGTTCAGTCCGCCTTGGGGACAGAACTTGCCCAGTTACTCACTTTCCCAGCCCTGCCCTTTTCCCTGGCGACTCAAGCAAATCCCCAGAGTCTCAGATTATGGAAAAGAACTATATTATACTTATTACCTTTTTCTAGGTCAAGTAATGTCCTAGAGACTGTCATGAGCGTTTTAGCACTTAATCTGTTTTAGGCAGCTCAGGCTGCCACAACAGAATCTCAGAGACTAGGTGGCTTAAACAACAGAAATATATTTTCCCATAGTTCTGGAGCTTGAAGTCCAAGATCAGGGTGTCAGCATGGTCTGGTTCTAGTGAGAGCCCTCTTTCTGGCTGGCAGATGGCTGCCTTCTCACTGTGTCATCACATAGCAGAGAGGGAGACAGAGAGCACAGTCTCTTCTTGTACAGTCACTAATCCCATCATGAAAGCCCCACCCTCGTGACCTCATCTAAACCTAATCACCTCCCAAAGACCTTTCTTCAGATACCATCCCATTGGGGGTTAGGGCTTCAACATATGGATTGGGGGCAGGGAGGAGGGAATTCAATCTATAGCATCATCCTTGCTACAGTCCTGGCAGGGAGATATTATTGTCCCTAGTGAAGCTCAGATTTGAAGAGGTGGGGTGATTTTGTTTTCTCCTGAAGCCCTGCAGTCTGAGAAGTGACAAGTGTGTATAAAAATGAACCTTCATATTTTGGGGGACAGGATGCTTACATGGACCCAAAGTATCACCCCACAAATCAGTTATGAATTTCAGAAGGTAAAGTGTATTTTCACATGGAAAGAACTGCAGCTACCGCCTTACACAGGTGTAAAATTAGCATCACCGTAAGGAGACGAACTGACATCGTGTGCTTTCTGATGTGATGCAGTAAGAACATTGTGGAGGATTCTTGACAAAAATATTTACCATCCATCAAATCATCAAGAAACAGCCAGACAGCTCCATAATGTGAAATGTCCTACAAGATAATTGGCCTGGACTCTTCGAGGGGGGAAAAGTGTGAAAAACTAGAAAGAGGGGAAACTCTTCTATACTTAACAACAACAACAAAAACCAATGGAGGCATAAACCAGATTAAATGTTTGCACCCTGGTTAGACCCTGGGTTGAGGTTGCAGGCGGCGGGGTGGGAGGGTGAGGAGGAAGCAGCCATAACAGACATTCTCAGATATTTGGAAGATTGTCTTAATTGTGATCATCATATTGTGGCTATGTAGGAGAATGTCCTTGTTCTTAAGACATGCATGTGGCATCATGTCTACAGCTTAATTTCAAAAAAGATCTAGCAGGAAAAAAAACAATATAACTATGCCATCAGTCTCAGTAAGCTGATCAGTAGCTGCCAATGACATGTTGGTGGTTTTGAATAGAGGACAGGTTTGCATTTTTTGGCCACCCACCATTTTCAGTAATCATTCATTGAGGGCTTTCTATGAACCAGGCGTCTCAGTGAGAGGAAGAATTGGAGTGGAGGGAGGGATAGATAGAACAAATGTGGGGAAATGTTAAAAATTGGTGGACCTAGGAAAAGAAGGGTATATTAATATTATATTAGTCTTTCAAATTTGCTATACATTTAGTTTCCAAAATAAAAAGTCAAGGTGGGGAAAAGAGCCAAATGGGCAGGAATGATATATTTCCACAGAGAAGCCTGATGGTAGGAGATGACCATCATTGGACTTTGAAGTCAGAGGGCCTGAGTTTGAATCTCCACTGTTACTGTGTCCTCTTGGAGAACATACTTCACCTCTTTATGTGTATGATCCCTTCTGTTTAAATATAAAATGTTATGGTACCTTCCTCTCCTGGGTCCATGTCAGAGTTTCTCAACCTCAGTACTACTGACATTGGAGGCCAGCTAAATCTTCACTGTAGGGACTGTCCTATATATTGTGGGTTGTTGAGCAGCACTTCTGGTCTCTACCCACTAGATGCTAATAGTACCCCCTACCGCAGGCTATAACAACCAAAAATGTCTCCAGACATTGCCAAATATACTCTAGGGGGATGCAAAATTCTCCCAGTTTAAAACCACTGGTATCAGTAAACCAGTACCCTTAGAATATGTTATTGGCTCAACATTCTTCTTAAATACTTTACATAATATTTTGAGAGTATGAACTCGAGCTAGACTGCCTGGGTTCACATCCAGGATATGCCATTTACTAGCTGTGTAACTTTGCCCAAGTTATATGCTACTTCTCTCTGCCTCAAATTCTTCTATAAAATTGACATAAAAATGGTATCACCTTAGGGCACCTGGGTGGCTCTGTCGGTTAAGTGTCGACTTCAGCTCAGATCATGATCTTACAGTTTGTAAGTTCAATCCCCACATCAGGTTCTGTGCTGACAGCTCAGAGCCTGGAGCCTGCTTCAGATTCTATGTCTCCCTCTCTGTCTGCCCTTCACCTGCTCTCGCTCTCTCTCTCTCTTTCTCTCAAAAATAAATAAACATTTAAAAAAATAATGTATCACCTTCATTGGGGTGTTATGAGACTTAAATTAGTTAACAGATGTAAAGTACTTGGAAAAGTACTTGTCATATTCTTAAGCTCAATAAATAATAACAATTGTTTGATATTATTAATTTACTGGCATTGAAATGACAAAAGATTTTAACAGATCCCTGGAACTAATAAGAATAAATACATGATTAGTGGTAGGAAATAATGATGCAGTCTTATCATATGACTCCATCAAGTTCAAAGGCACCACTGGTTTGAATGTTAAAGAACTTCCACCTAAAGTGACTGAGGTCATCTCTGGTAACCAGATCTGAGATCCAAACCATCCAGGAATTGGGGCGTCCCCAGCCTAAGCATCCCAGTTAAAAAGACATGACCCTTCCTCCTCATGACTTTCTATGGGTTTTAAAACCAGCTTTGTCTTCCAAGTCAAGCTCTCCAACATGTTGATAGACTGGTAAGGTCACATGCCTTGTTTCTAATTCAGATGGCTTGCCTGAGCTTGTGAGAGTTTTGCCACCTGGCCTTGGCTGAGGTGGGGCCTGGCCACAGGTGGAGTCCAGGGGGTGGAGGCTTTGTCAGCACCTCTGGTGCAGTCTCTGGCTCCATGGGGAAAGAGAAGAGAACTAATATTTATTGTGCACCTGTTATATTCCTGCAGGGCAATGTGATGGGCATTCCACATCCATTATTTAAAGTAACCTTCCCCTCCCAACTATCCTGCAAGTATTGTTTCTTTTTTACATATCAGGGAACTGAGGCCCAGAGAGGGGAAGGAGCTTCTTCAAGGTCACACTAGTAAAAAGTGGCAGAGCCTTTATACCCAGGAGTATCTAACCTCAAAAACATTTCTCTTGGGGCACCTGGGTGGCTCAGTCGGTTAAGCATCCAACTTTGGCTCAGGTCATGATCTCGCAGTCCATGAGTTTGAGTCCCACATCGGGCTCTGTGCTGACATCTCAGAGCCTGGAGTCTGCTTCACATTCTGTGTCTCCATCTCTTTCTGCCCCTTCCTCACTCATACTCTGTCTCTCTTTGTCTCAGAAATAAATAAAAACATTAAAAAAATTTTTTTTTAATTTTCTCTTAATTTAATACAAGTCATCAGTCAAATTCTAAGGTTCTTGTGTTACATTTG